TCCTTTATATGTATGGACTACTTATTGCTTATATCAATCTGCTAATGACCAAATGACTGGCCTCCAAGGATATCGTCATGAACATGATTATAAAATATCTTTTCAAACCCTTGCTTTAAATTCTTTTAAGTAAATAACTAGGGATAGAATTGCTAGATCAAATGGTTATTGTAAATTTAAGTTTTGTAGGGAGATTCTATAGTTTCCTCCACAATAGTGGTTCCAGTTTATCCTCCAATCAATAGCACATAAGGGTCCTACTTTCTTCGCTTCCTTACTCACATTTGCTGTTTCCTGCTTCTCTTTAAATGATAATCATCCTAACAGTGTGACCTAGTCCTCCACTATAGTTTTGATCTGTAATTCCCTAGTGATTAGTCATTATGAGTGGAGTTTTTCTGATTATCATTCATATTTCGGTCTTCTTCAGACAGATATCTTTCCTAGTCCTCCACTCTTGAATTTGGTTGGCTTGGTTATTGAGAGCTAGCTATCTACACATTTTGAAAACTTATCATTTATCAGTTATGTGATTTTTAAATATCTGTCTATCCGTGGGTTTTTATTTTATTCATAGTGCTTTTGAATACATACATTTAAAAACGTCAGCAATCCAATTCATATATTTTTCTTTCATACTATGTAATTTTGATATTATGTCAAAGAGATCACTGCCAACTTAAGGGTGTGATATACTGACTTTTCTTCTAAGTGTTTTAAATTTCATGTATTAACATTAGGTATTGGATCTATTCTAAACTATTTTTGTAATACCATGTAAAATAAATGTTCAACTTAATTACTTTGCATATAGATGTCCAATTTTCTTAGCATCATTTGTTGAGAAAACTATTTTCCTAATTCCTCCATGAATTATTTTTAAACATTTATACAATGTATTTTGATTATATTCTTTCCCTTCCCCCAGCTCCTCCAAGGTATTCACCTCTTCCCTACACACCCAACCTCATACTCTTTTTTCTCTGTCTCAAAATAAAAGTTGAAAATTAAAAAAAATACCAGTAAGACAAAACATAGTACTAAAATAAAGCAAACAGTGCACAAAAAAGCATAGAGTCCATTTTGTGTTGGACAATTACTACTGGTCATGGGGACTCTTCCACAAATTTCAATGCTAGAGATGTACTGTACATCTACATATATGTATAGTGCCTTATACGCAAAGTAAGATTTTCCCCCTCAAATAATCAATTTTTATCAACTTGAAGATGGCATCATTCCACTGAGAATATATAAACTACCCTTGAACTGATACCTCATTGTTACCTTCATATGGTATTTTAGATCACATTGTCAAGTTCTTTGTAAACAGGTGGAGAGATTTCATTAGTGGCCATGATGGAGTGACAGGAACTAAATTTATTTTCTCACCTAAAGCATACGGAAAACTGGGTGAGAGACATAAACTTAACTTTTGCCCCAGCTACTGGATAGCAAGAGTGTGGTTCCTCAGAGAAGGACAATAGAGAACTGGCCCAGCTTGCTGTCTTGAGACAGGTACATTAAAATTCTAGGACATTAAATTCTGGACAAAGGATGGTGAAGAGAGCCGTCATCCTGCTGAAGACAGGTGCGATTTCACAGTATCTAGGGTAGGGGAAGCTGTAGGGAAGAAATCAAGAAGTTGGGCAGCTAAACAAAAAGAGAGCTTTGTGTAATTAGCATTGTACTGGAGTGTAAGGGAAGCCAGGTGCTGGTATATTGCTAACTGCCTTATTTCTCTTTAGGATTGCTTTGGCTAGTCCTGGTCTTTCTTAGTTCCATAAGAACTCTTGGATTGCCCCCCCCCCGCCCCATTTCTGCGAATGATGACATCACAAGCTTGGTGGCAATTTCACTGAATCTGTAGATTGCTTTTGGTGGTATGGCCATTGTCACTATTAATTTTGCCGATACAGAAGCATGGGAGGCCTTTGAACTATCCAGTATCTTTACTGGGTTCCCTTTCAAATGTCTTGAAGTTTTCATTGTAGAAGTCTTTCAGTTTGTTGGTTAAATTTATTACTAAGTACCTTTTGTGTGTGGGGTATTAAACTTAATGGGATGTTTTTCTAATCTCTTCACTGTAAGGTGTATATATATATATAAAGGCTGCTGATTCATTTTACATTAACTGCGTCCTGAAACTTTACTAAAAGTGTTTATTAGAGCTAAGAGTTTTCCAGTAGAGTATGCACAGTCTTTTAAGTACAGAAACACATCATTTACAGATATGGTTGTTTGATTCCTTTTCTTGTTTTTATGTTTCTTCTGTCTTTCTCTTGTTTTATTTCTCTTGCTAAGATTCTGAGCACTGTACTGAAAAAGAGAACTGGGAGTAGGCATCCTTGTCTTGTTGCTGATTTTAGAGGAAATGCCACAGAGTTATAATGACAAACACAGCCTAATATTGCCATAAAAGCTGGCAGGTCAACCTATGGAACAGAATAGATTACCCAGAAGCAAACTGACAAAGCTATGGACACATAGTCTTTTTCAAAAGAGGTATCAAATCAGTCAGTGAAAAGAGCCTATTCAACACATGGTGCTGCAAAAGTTGGATAGCCACCTACAGAAGAATGAAATTAAATCTGTGTCATTCACACCGTACAAAAAAATCAATTCAAAGTGGATCAGAGTCCTTAATTTAAAACATGAAACACTGCCACTGCTAAAGGAAAAGAGAGAGAACAAGTCAAGACTTAGGTATGGGAATTAGCTTTCTGAGAACTCCAATAGCACAGACAGCAATCCTAGGAATCAACAGATGTGACTACATGAACTTAAAAGGTTCCTGCATAGCAAAAAAAATAAAAGACAAACAGACAAAAACTAGTATCAGAGAAAATAGCCTATGAATGGGACAAAATCCTTGTAGCTATAATTAGGGCTAACAGTCAGAATTTACAAAGAACTATGAAAATTAAATGCCTCCTAACATAAACTGCCGATCAACAACCTCCCTAATGAAACAAATTGATAATTCTCAAAAGAAACAAAACAAACAAACCCACAAATGACCAATAAATATATTTTTAAATGTTAATATCTCTAGCAATTGAGGAAATACAAATTAAAACTACTTTGAGACACCATTCTACCCAGTTAGCATGGCTGTCGTCTGACGACAAATGCTGGTGAGGATATAGGGAAAGAATTCATTGCTGATGGGAATGCAAACAACTAAAGCTATTGTAGAATCAGTTCTCAGACAATTAAAGCAGGACTACTGTATGGCCCAGCGACACCACTCCTGAATCTGTACCGAAACTGCTCCACATCCTACCACGGACACATCTGCATGTTCATGTTTATGGCCATTCTTTTCTAATAGCAAGGACATGGACACATCCTAGATGGCCATCAGCAGATGATGAGATGATGAAATGGGACACATAGACCAATGGAATCTTATTCAGGTGTCAAGAAAAATAAATTATGAAAAATTCAGGAAAACGGGTGAATCTGGAAAGCATAATATTTAGTGAGGTCACCCAAATTCAGAAAACCAAAAATTCCATGTTCTCTCTCATATGTGGATCAATGCATATATGTATGCATATTAAGAAGATATTAAGAGCTGGCGTGTTTGTGCCCCTCCTCCGTCACCCTCACCAGTGATGGAATCTGCCATTGTCCCACACACAGGACCACCTTCCAGCTTTATTCTAACTTAAGCAAAAGAACAGCATTTTGGTGAATGTGACTTGGCAGGTTTTCCTGGCATTTGCTCCTACCTGTTGCAGTCTGCGATATGCTGAGACCCTGTAACCTTCAACTCGGTCACTTTCCAACTAAGGACCTCTGGATTCTTCCGTTCACCACTGCCATGTCTGGTTTCTATAACAGACAGGCCAACTGTTGGCCCCACCCCATGTCCTCCAAGAAGACTGGTGGACACTGAAGAAACTCCATTCACAAAAGTGGCAATGCTAGCCACTGAGAACCCTGCTTTTCACCTCAGTTGCTGCAAAGGACTCTTCAGACTGTGAACAAGAGGACAGTGAAATCGACTTTCTCCATGTGGCTTGGACCAACGGTAGGCTGAGTCTTTCTAAAGAACCTAATCCACAGGTCTCATGCTATCAGCAGAAGGCAGGTGTCCTTAAAGCCTCTGACCTCAACAACTGTGGAGGACCTGGGGGTGGCTATTCATGCAGCCAGCTAGTAGTGAGTCTCTGTTACTCTTTAGTCATTAACTAGGGTAGAATTTTATCCTTCTCAAGAACTCTGATGCTTTGAAGGTTCTGTCACTAAACAGATTTCAGGAACGGGTATTTTACGGTTTATCTATGAAGATAAGAAAGTGTAAGCTACAAAGGTCTGAGGATGAAGAGGTCTAACAAGGTGGATGAACGCAGGTTGTGAAGGTGTGAGAACAGAAGGTCTAAGATGGTAATGTAAGGCGTATGGACTAAAGTTAGGGAGGTCTGAGGATAAAAGGCTTAAGTGATGACAAAGTGATTTGGGACATTCAAAAGAATGAAACATGTTCCAGATTTCTCTCTCTCTCATTATGCTACTGTTCAAAGTCTTAACATTAATTAATACAGGGTACTAAATACCATGCTATACCACTATATGATCATGACTGCAAGCTCAAAATTAAGGTGCTTTTCATTCTGCTAAAGATATCTGTCAGTTTTAAAAGTGTTAGTGCTTTCAACCAAATCATTTCTGACATGATTATACTGCTAATATGTCTGTGTTTATGTTTTCACTAACTCAAATGATTCTTGTAAGTTCCAGGGAGCTGAATTGGACCCAACCAAGCAGGTAAGATTCACTCCAGATAAACCTTTCTCTGGTCCCAGGACTCCCCTCATCTTGGGATCACCTCAGTAACCCCTTCCTCATGTTATGACCCTCCTCCTCTCAAGCACCTAAGAAAATTTTTTCTTAAACTTAACTTTTTACTCTACTCTGCCAACATTTTGCCAGGTCTAAGAGGTGCCAGAGAGTTCCATACAGCCTGGACTTCAATGAAACAACCAGCTACGCCAGCTTTCTCAGGTCCCCCAAAGATGGTCAATATCCCCCAGGTCAGCAAGAAGTAGTCTTGATAACTTGATATCTTTATTCCCTAACCTGCCATACCTAACTCCTCACCTTTTAAATAATAAGTAAAGGTGGGAATGTAAGGATTCATGCATTATGCTGGCCTGCTCGTCACCTAGCAGAATGCACTCAGGCAGTACTCTGGTCAGCCCAGGGTTCCATGAGTACTAGCCTGCAGCAGGTGCAAAGGGTCCCTCTAAAAGAAAGCTCTCCACCCACTTATGCTCTCTTACTATTCTTTCTGCTCTCTCTGCTCTCCTCTCTAATTGTTCCTTTCTTCCTCTTCTCTTCTGTCCTTCCTCTCTGTCTCTGTGTCTCTTTACCTCTTTTCTCTTTCCTTCCCCCTCCCTGCCCTTTCTAATAAAACTTCTCACTCAAAAAAAAAGAGAAGGTATTAAGAAAAAAACAGAAAAGAGACCAAGAAATGGCAAAAAGAGATGTGGGGAAACATGGTGTGTTAAAAGCAGAAGTATTTTTATGACTTAAAAGGAGATGGGGAGTTCAAAAGGGAAAGTCAAAAAGACTGGTGACAAATAAAACACCTTGTTCAGAAATGTCACAACGATATCTTATACCTGTATGTTAACTTTAAACATGGTGTAGAATTCCCTCCCTGTTTGCAGAATGCTAAGACCTGTGCCTGTAGAATAAATGTCTCTGAGCTCAGGAAGACAGAAACATACCTAGGAGCTGAACTGCCCATAATCCACACAGGGATTGTTTCCATCCAAGCTTCTAGCAGCAGAATTGGGTGCATGATTGGTTAGCCAGGTCATTTAGCTGAGATTGTAGAAGTATCATGTCTATTTCTGCAAAGCTAAACTGGTCCTAAGGTATTGACTATGCCACAGTCACCCTACAAATTCCTCAAAGCAGGTCTCATGATGATTTGAAGTGAGATACTAGTCCATCAGAGTCAAGCCAGTACTTCTCAAGGGAGACAACAAGATTCAGCACTAAGCAACATTACATACCCAATAAGAGGCAAGCAAACAAAAGGTTCTAGGCATATCCAAATCAGGATATAGTAAGCTTTCTACTGTATGTATGTTATACACAGTAAAAAGAAAGGAAAAAGTTTGTAAAATAATAATAATAACAATAAATAATAATTGTAGGAGCAAGCATGATGCTCATTAAATTCCCAGAATTATATTGTAAAAACATACATCCATAGTCCCTAGAGTTCTGAATCTATCAAAATGCATCAAAGAAGGAAACTGAAAAATATGAATTTCTGGTGAGTTCCTTGGTGGTGTTGCTGCAGTTCCAAATATTACACTCAGGAACCATGGAAATCATGTTTACTTTTAGACTATCATGTTAGATCTACCCAGTTACTTACCAGCTGTGTAGTATTGGTTGTATTTCTTACCTTGTGACGTCTCTGTATGTGAAATACAATGTTATTGTTCATATTGTCCTCATCTGGTTGATGTGAGGATTAATGGTGTAGTATACTCAAAACTGATGAACAGTAAACATAAATGTGTTGCAAGGTACTATTACTGTTATTATTGCTAAGAATAAGCTAATAGTCTCTGTACATTTTCTTTGCCTTAAATTAGTTGGGAATGCTCTACTTAAATGTGAGAAAGCCTTACAAATTCAAGTCTTTTCTTTTGTTTATAGAACTGTCTTCAAAATAGTATTTTGGAGCTAAAATTTTCCATGCTTAGTTTAAGCCAAAGATGATTTTTTTATGTCTCCAAGGCAAGTGAACAAAATTAGGTAAGCCTTTTTAAAGTTTTGAAGAAAGAAGGGTGTGTGTGTGTGTGTGTGAGATGTTTTTATTGTTTTAGAAAAGGAAGATGATGGAAGTGGCTAAAATTAATAGAAGCATAAAATTAGTTCAATTTGGGTATAATAATTCTCAAGAAGAAAATATAAATTAGGAAGATTAGAAAAGTAGTTTCAGTCTACTTTTTAAAAATGTAAACCAATTAAATTTTCCCTTTTTATTTAAATTAGGAACAAGCTTGTTTTACATGTCAATCCCAGTTCCCTCTCCCTCCCCTCCTCCCCTGTCCCCACCAATTCCCTATTCCCTCCCATTCCTGCTCCCCAGAGAGGGTAAGGCCTTCCATGGGGGAATCTTCAAAGTCTGTTATATCATTTGGAGCAGGGCCTAGGCCCTCCCCCATGTATCTAGGCTGAGAGAGTATCCCTTTATGTGAAGTGGGCTCCCAAAGTTCATTCATGTACTAGGGATAAATACTGATCTACTACCAGAAGCCCCATAGATTGCCCAGGCCTCCAAATTGACATCCATGCTCAGGATCTATGCTGGTTTCCCAGACCAATTACATTTAAGATTCTTTTCTATCTATATGTATGTGTGTGTGTGAGTACGCTCACAAGAGAGGGGGGAGGGAGGGAAGGAGGGAAAGAGAAAGGGAGAGAGAGGAGACAGATGTGGCACATGGCATTGGGAGGGGGGTGTAGTGTCCACGGAACCAGAAGACAGTGTGTTGGAATGCTACAGGCAGTTGTGAACAGCCAGATGTAGATGATGGGAATAGAATTTGGGTCCTTTAAACGCATTACTTATTTGAAGTGCTGAGTGATTGCTCTAGAACTCACAGTTAGTATCTTTACCTGGTGTTGGGGTTGCTAGAATGAACCATGGCAGATGACCAGCAGGATGTCTCATGCAGTCATACTAGATGCTCGTGGGAAAGCAAAGATCTTTCCTGTCACAGCAGTGGCCATTCAGGAACCAGGTCATCAGCATTTTGACTACCTAACCCTAAAAAGAGATTTTCATGTAGTTTTAGAAGATAGCTTTTCCACATTTTAACAACTTCAGTTAAAATATACCACTGGCCAAATATTTGTTGTAATAAAACAAATAGCTCTAACTATGGTGTGGCAGATATATCATTATTCAAAATATCTCCTCCTAATGGAAACTGATTATAGATGTGGATAATAAGCTTAGCCAGGTGACTTACTTTGGTCAATGAAACATAAAGGAAAACAATATGTACCATTTGTGAGAAAGAACATTTAAGTCTTTAAAGCTTAATCTATTTTTTTCTTATTTAAATTTAAACACAGCTTGACTATGTGGTTGTGTACAATCAAAAGTGGGTGCTTTTCTTTCACTTGTATCCTGAGAACCGGGACCATGGGGTTTGTCGTTTCTTTGTTTTAGATGTTTCTGTTTTCTTGTCATTGAGATTTTAAGGCTGCTTGTTATTGGAACATAACTCAAGCTAAACCACACACACACACACACACACACACACACACACACACACTGTACATGGAAAAATGTTCTCTGTTGGTTAAAGCTTATGTTGGTATACATAAAGGTAAAACAAAATGAAACAAAACAACCTTTTATTTTCCCCCATAATAACCTCAAGTAGGACAAAGAGAGGCAGAGAAGAATTAGAGACACCTTGGTGGTGGTAAGTGGAAGGAAAAACAGCTAAGTTTACTTCCTGTTAAATCTGTTGACACTTGGAATACTGTGGTCCATTAGAATTTTGTTAATTGGGTCCTGTACAGAATAGGGTAAGTGTTCCTTTTGTTTGGTTATTTTTGTTTTTTTTAACAACAAATAGCTTTTTGTATGATGATTAAACAGAGACTAATTAGCTATGCTTGAGCAAACATATGGCTGATAATGGTCCTGCTCATTGAGGAGAGCACATCTTCATTCCTCCGCAGTAATGATCTATGGAACTGACACCACACACATACTCCTAGAGCAATACTCAGGCACTGTTTCAATTAGAGGACATTCAGAAGACAGATGGGCAAGTGGGTGGTAGAAAAGGCTAAGGAGAAAGTTAAGGATGACTCTAACCAGGTGATTGTGAGTAACTCAATGATTTAAAAAAAATAACAAACCTGGTAAAAGAAAATATAACAGCTAATTGCTCCTTGCAGCGGTCTCAGAGATATATGCAATAATAATGTGTGTCACTATGCCATACAAGGCAAAACTCAAGGATAAGAGCACAAAATGATTGACTGTAAGAGTCGGAGATTGGGAGGAACTGGAGGGAAGCAGTGTCCTGTGGCTATGGCAGCACCGCTGCTCTCCTGAGCGAGCTCACTGCAGCTGAGGGCACCTGCATAAGATCAAGCCAGTCAGCATTCGTGCGTGCGTGTGTGTGTGTGTGTGTGTTCATGACCTCCCATCCAACTGAGGAACTATGGACAGTTGATGGCTTCCATGGAAGGCAAGTCAGATATTCATAAGGATGTGGCCCCTGGCGGGTCAGTGGGTGTCCCCACACAGAGAAGTATATGGGCTGCACATAAGGGACTCTACAGATTATTAAAGAAAAGGAAAAGGAGGAGGGTGAGGAGTTAGGGGGCAAAGTGGGGGGGTGAATGTGATACAAAATCTCAAAGACTTAATAAAATTGTTGCTCTTTCTTTTTAAAATGCGCTAAATGGAACACTAACCAAGAGAGTACATTAACCATAGAGTTTATTAAAGAGGGGGGGGGGTAAGATAGGGAGAAGAGAGAGACTGGGCGATCACGTGTAGGTGCTCACTTAAAAGTGGAAGCTTGCACATGCCTACTGAGTCCTTAAGCAGCCCTGTAAGGAGTGATGTAGCAAATACCTGGCCGTGCCACTGTGTATGCCCTGCCCGTTGTCAGGAGACGGGGTCAGCATGGTGCTGAATTCCAGCAAAAGTAATTTAAAAGAGGCACACAATGGTTTCTACACTTATCTGTATAGATGTGCAGTAGCAACATGGTCACCATGCCTGAGAGGCAGAGGTACTCTGTGTGTCAGAGAAGAATAGTGCTGAGGTAGCCGGCCATGCAGTCATTTTGAAATTCAATTTCAGTTCTGTGAGGCTGTGGAATCCATCAAGTGAATTATATGAAGTTTTTTTCTAAATCTGTACTGCTTATTAATAACATTTTATAGAAGGCATTTTAGTGTTTTATGAAATATCTTTTTAGCCTTCCTTTTAAAAAATCATATTTTAAATAGGCATGGTTTGGACTCATCAGACAACTTAAACTGTATTTGAAAAGTTTTGGGTTCAATAAAACCCAAGCTGCTTTTTGCCAAGCACCTTTCCCTCTCATTTTAAAAACCATATGTATTTTAAAGGAAATTTAACCCATGTGGTTTTGATTTATATAAATTTAAATAATCAAAATGGTATTTTTTTTACAAGCCTGTTGATGTCAAATAAGCTTTTTGAGCCCTTTAAAGAGACTTTTCTTCTGAAAACAAGAAGCAATGCTTTGCCAAGGGTAAATACATTTCAACACCAAGAGGCCCGTGTTAGCGTGTAACTGCAAACTTCTGATTCCGAGTCCCTTCTGTGTCTGGCAGCATGAAGCAGTTCCTGCTCGCCACAGTACTGGGGCCCGGACTCCCTTTATAATGAAAGAAATACATTAAGGCTGTAAAAATAAGAAAAACGAGGATGATCGTTTAAACATTTCAAGAAATTATTGGCAGTATGAGAGGCTGGGCAAGTCAATGGAAAGCATGGTCACACAGCTGTCAGTAATTTATTAAGATTCCGTCATGGGCCTTGGGAAGCTGGGAAGATGGTGGGGAGAATAAGTTACCTTACCTCAAAATTAAGAACTGTAGTCTTTCAAGCATGCCCTTTTTAAAATTACTAAAATACGGAGAATCTTAGAAAGTCCAGTTGAGTGATGTTTTAGTGGAGTGAAATTTTAGTTGGGTTTAGGATTTTCAGATACCCATAGACTAGGTATCCACGGTGAGGTGTCATTTCGGAGCATGGATACATATCTGGGAGTGTGTTTCCAGAAGAGATGGACATTTAATTCAATGGACTGAGTGATAAAGCTCCACCTTCACCCTGTGTGGGAGGCCCCCATCTGAGGGTCTGGGTAAACAAAGAGGGAAAAGAACAGGGAAAGTGTTCTACTCCCCGGTGCCCCCAGGAGTTGGGACACTAATGTCTTGCCATTCAGCACCAGAGCTCAGATTTTCTGCTCTTTGAACTTTGGGTTTTATGCCATTGATTATCTAGGTTCTCCAGCTGGCCTTTGTCTTCATACTGAAAGTTACAGCAGTAGCTTCTCTGGTTTTGAGATTTCAGGACTCCGGCTGAGTAATGCGTAATGCGATCTGCTTCTAGGGCTCTCCAGGTTGACATAATTTCCCAGCCTCTGTCATCATAGGAAATTCTCTCTCTCTCTCTCTCTCTCTCTCTCTCTCTCTCTCTCTCTCTCTCTCTCTCTCTCTCTGGAATTGAAGATCATTGAGCTTTATCACTTAGCATAAGTACTCATTGAGTATCTACCAAACCATGCACTGTGCTGGGTGCTTGATGAGGAAGATAGTGACACACTAGGCCCGCTCTGTCCTCACATAGTTCACATTTGTGAAAAGTTTCACATCCAATATGACGGAAAGCATCGGATTCTGCCCTCCCACGGTAATGAACTCGGCAGGTTGGGGCTGGAGTACCACAACAGTATGATGGGGGAGCCAGCAGACGGAAGGGAGTCGTCAGCAAAGAAGCAAAAGGCAACAAGTTTCCAAATCTGTTTGGGGTAAAAGCCACTGATCTTATTAACAAAGTTGAAAAACATTTTGGAAAAAACAGGAAACATTAAAGTAGGCGAGTGTGATAAAGCAAGGGGATTTTCACCCTCTCCCAAACCGGCCTGGCCTCTCTGTGTGTTTGACTGTAATCCACCTCGCTGAGGTCAGTCAGCGCGTCCTATTCCTAGTTTAACAGTGTGCTCTTCGCAGATAAGATC